TATCAACTAAAAGAATATTTGGATATCCATTTGTTGATCTAGCCATTGCACATCTCACACTTATTGAAAACACTTAATTTTAGATGCATGATCTCACACTAAAAAATATAGAAAAATGCATCCATTAATTGGAGCACATTTATTAAGTGGATTAAAATAATAATAAAAAAAATCATTTACAATAAGCAAGAATATTTTTGGATAGCGCTATCTTGCTTATAGATCAGTACTTAATCTTTTTCTTGAGCATTTAGCGTTTTTTTTTCAACGAGTGCCAAGAGGGCCATGAAAGAGTGTTAATTTTTTTTGACTGTGGGTTACCCTGTTAAAAAATGTGATGGTCACCCATTTTCAGTTTCCTGCTAGATTTTCATTTTAAAGAAAGTTTGATGCAAGACAAAGAGTCCCACTGCATCACAGGTTCTTCACAATCGTTTACATTTTTGAAGATATGAATTCATTATCATTTCACATGAAACTCAATTGGAGTATTTGTTGCCAAAGAACTTGATCTTAACTTGTTCTTACCAGAGTGCACAGCTTCATTTACCATTTGAATAGTGTTTGGAAAATCCCACATGTTTGATGAAAGGACAAAAAAAAAAAAGGTTCTTTCTTCTTAAATAATAAGTTGGCATGTAGTTACAAACTAGTGGTTATTATGGAGACTTGGTGACCTCAAAGACGCTGTAGTTCCTGCTCTACCACAAGGCAAGAGAAGTTTCTATCCTCCTCCAGCTTTTTTTTTTTTGTCATAGTTTTAATTTCTTGATTGGGACAGCAGTACTCTATTTCCTGAACTTCTGATCTAGGCTGCTTGTCTTTCTCTCTTGTCCTTCCGTCCATTTTCTGATTGCTGAAAACGCAGGCTACTAACATCACATAATCTAATTAAAGAAACTTCAAGTATGGAGTTTTTTTTTTTTTTTTTTTTTTATAGTGTGAGATTTTGCTCCCACAATAAAAGATTGATTTATTTTAAGGCTTTTTACACAACTTTAGCAGGAATCCCAATAAGTGTTGAGGACGCTGTACTTTAATAGTGAATAAGTGTTATAGTGTGACACACTAAAAGTAATTTTAGATAGAAAAGTAAAGTGAAAAGGCACAACCTTTCTTCTGAAGAGAAAACAAAGTCCCAGACATGGAAAGTCCCGGTTAGCAGCACATATTCCTGCAGAGCTGATCCTAAAAGTGTGTGTTTGTTGCCATTTCCCCTGAGTAAACTGTACATTAAACAAGTTGACTTGCAGTGTGGGCAAGGGTCTGCGCCCACAATCATGGCTCATTTTCATATTCAAACACTCATGTTCCCACACACTGTTGCTTTTTCCCTTAGTCAGGCCATGGCAGACCCCCCCATGTGATGATGTCATTCTGCGATACTGCTTTCTGTTTGTTTCATCCTCCCTGCTGTTCCTCTTTCCAATGAAAACATATTTAGTCAGTCACCTTGTATTTTCTTGAAGCCATAATTCTTTCCTTTATAGATTCTAACTTGAAAAACAGATGTTTTTTCGCATTCCATTATGTTATTATTGGCCTTCGAAGTTGACAGCGAAGAGAGTATTGTGTAACTGAAAGTATCCAGTAAAGAAACCACAAGAAAGCAGATGTAGCCATAAGTTATATGCTTGCATCACTGGTTGACAAAGCTTACATGTGCATTGGTGTGCCCCCTCCCCTACCCCCCTCCAGCTCTGAAGTACTCCGCCGCCTTGTGTCAGCAGACGTGCAAAAGACGAGGAACCCTCGAGAGCAATTACTGCTCCAGCAATTTTGGTGAGAACATCAATGCAAGTTGCGGTTCATACAACCCTCATAAATTATCCCTAATTAATAGATCGCAGCTGATATTAACTTGCCAGGGTGTGTATTGGCTTGTGGAACTATTGCAAATATGCTAATCCCAACCAGCCCTTCAGCTGAGGATCAGTATATCAGCTGAAGTTCTTGACAGCCAACCCCCCGCCCCGTAAGTAGCTGTTTACAGTCCTGATCATGTCCTCTCTCTCTCTTTCTTTTTTTTTTTTTGGTCTCGCAACTGAAAGACTGCCTTGATAGGCATTCAGAAACTGAAGTACTGTACACATTCGGTGCACAGAAACCTCCAGTATGAACATAAACACACCCACACGCCTAGAACCCGTAAGGTAACTCGGTGTAAAACAAACAGACTGTGAGATGTTGGCTGCATACGTGTTGGATCTGCACTTGGATTTGAGCCAGAAAACCGATGAGCAAACGATGTGAAAAACATCCCCTGCGTGTTGTGGCTGGGGGGGAATTTACCTCGTGATGTTAGAAGTGGCGAGACAGTAGACTGAAAACATTTTTGTTTAATCAATGCTTTAAGTCTTAAAACAGCTGGTGTTTAATCTGGTTGAGTTCACTGAGATCCGTCCAAAGCGGTTCTCTGGTCTGTGTAACAGTAGCAACTGACTGAGAAAGCCACTCTGGATATTCTCAGCTCTGTCAGTGCAGACATAGTGGTGCCATCAGTGTAGAGAGTCCAGTTTGTTCCTTTGGGTTCTCTTTATCTGTGATTCCTCTAGGGTCACTTGCCAGACGTTACTGCGTTTCCATGAGTCGGAACAAAAACACCGAGTCCTTCTCCTGGAAGCTCCGGTCAGACTAAACAGGAAGTTATTTTAACCCCCCACTTTATTGCATTGTTTTAACATTGGGGGGAAGTGGAAGCTTTGCTTTATATTAGAAGATAATTGGTTTCTTATGGACTTTTTCTGGAGAGGAGATGTGATCTTTTAATTTTACTCCGTTACTAAATGCAAATTTAATAATTTACATTACTAAATGCAAATTAGTATTGCATTTAGTGTACTAAATGCAATACTAATTACATTTAGTATACTAAATGCAATTTAGTATACTAGTACTACGGCTCCACTGCACTTCAAAGACAAGATAATAAAAGAACAAAAAAAAAAAAAAAAGATTTGACAAATACTGTCCGCATCTCGTTTATTAATAGTAAAGATGAAACAGGAATTTTCTGCCCTGCAGCTGTTAAATTCTTAGCTTACATTCCTTTTCTTTTTTTTTCCTACCCCCCTCCTGACAAGAAACTTGCTGTAGACTTGTTTATAAAAACCTGCAGTATTTAACTTGGAAAAGTTCTCATTGAGATCAAAAACAAGTAAAAATTGTTTCAGACAGTACACGTGCAGAACTGCATAATTATCACAATTTAAGCACTTTTGCTTGCCATCCCTTATCCTCCTTTTCATTTGTGTCTGTGACAGTGATAACTGGAACGGTCATTACTGCAGCGATGAGAGGAGGAAGCATGTACGCCACCGTCTCCATCATCAATGTGTATAAAGAAGGCAGCCTGGTGATCCAGCAGGCGGGGAAGACAATGAGCACCAAGATCATTATCCTGTGCAAAAAGTGTCCATTAATCAGACGAGGTAAGTGCTATGGTGCTGCTGGAATTAAATCGCCTTCTCTCAAATGTTTAAAAAAGAAAAGATGTTCTGTAAATACTCATAGTTACAATGCAGCTCCAGGTTGACTGTTTTAAATAACAAACGGCTCTGAGTTTGCCTCCTCTGCTCCTTTGCCGATCCATCCAAGGCGTTAGGTAAGCGGCAGAACTCACTGTCCAAACAGTCAACAACAAGCAAATATGTTTTTACGTATTCATATGCATACGGACCTGCAACACGCAGACTCTCATGTCGGGCCTCCCTGAATGTCTCTGCCGTTCCGCCACTGCATTCAGGTGTTTTCTGTGTGACCTCACCAGGCTTGAACTACATCTTCATGGGTCAGGTGGACGAGGAGGGCCGGGGGAAGATCGCCCCGCAGCACTTTGTCATGGCCTTCAAGAAGAAGAACCAAAAAGGACTAAACGTTCTGAAAAACAGGCAATGCTGATCTGTCCCCGTCGCGCTGAGGAGCTCCCGCCTAAAGAGGCTCAGCTGTGGATGGAAACAATTAGGCAGGAAACAAAGCTCCTTTTCAATGACACAGAACCAAATCTGGGTGCCAAGCTGGCACAGCAAAACCCTTAATTCAATGTTTCATTAAATTAAGGGTAACACACATTGGTGCATTTATTAGGACATATTTTTTTTTTTTTTTTTTGCCAATTGGGCACATGCAGCATTGAGTAATTGCAGGTTGTCTCCTGTTTAAAAGAACAGCTTGTCATTTAAACTAAGATTAATGAGCAAAAAATGAGTTCAAATTTCTCCTTCTATCCACAGATTGTTCCCTACATTCCTGTCACGCTTCTCACAGATTGTAGCTACTTAGAAAAACATTCCTCCATTTATTTATTTATTTTTTTTTTGGGGGGGGGGGGGGGGGGGGGGGGGGGCGCATCTTTTT